GATGTCACGTAGGATGCAGGATGCTGTACCCAATACATGCTGTCTGCACCAAAACCAACCTTACCCAATATTCTTCCAGCCCCAGTATATTCAGCAGCATATTGTAAATGACAGTGAAGAAAACAGTCCATCTGACAGGTGTTTTGCTTAGAAATACCTTTATTTTATAAAGCCACAGTTTGTTCTGTAAAGTTTTACCACACTTATAAAAAAGGGGTTGACAGTTCTGAGGGAGAAAAGAAAAGCTGAAAACATTTCTTGTAATCCAGGGTTACACAAAGGTTATATTTATAATATATATATTTATTTATAATTTGGAGACAGTAGAGATGAAACTGCAATACACGGGCAGCTGTGGGGTCATATTTCAGAGACTTGCTCATGTCCTACAAATAGTGTTTCTTGACAGAAGGGGTTCACGAGGACCATCCCGCTGTCACGGTAGTCGCCGTTGGCAGGGGAGCGTGGCTCAGAGAGGTGGTCCTAGGAGAGAGAGAGAGAAGCAGGGTGAGCACTTCACACCCCTCACTCTCTGTGAGCATGCAGGGCACTCTGCTGCCTTGTGCAAATGCAGGTAAGAAATGGGCTCTTACTTTTATCACTTCTCCCAATCCCCAGAAAGTGCCCGAATTTTGGAGGCCCCAGGTCCTGGAGAGCTAAGTTTGATGAGACTGCTTTACCTTTCTTCAGGCAGTAGGAGCCAAGAGTGAAGAGCTCCTCTGATAGTCAGGCTGATTCTTTCTCAATCTAGGGACCCAGAATTCAGATGCACCAAACTCCAGGTCCCTTAGCAGAACATGAACTTTCACATTCTTCCTTTTTTTCACTTTCATGATGCATTACAACAGTTTCCTATCTATAAGCTGGGCTTGACTCCTCCAAGATGCATTTTCAGCTTCTTTTTAAGGTCAGAAAACCACATACATGGTTCCAAATTACCTGAGTATGCCCCAGTTAGTCATGTTCTGATCAGGTTTTAATGACTCAGATGACAGCTTTTGGAGACCATCCTATATGTGAATAGGCCTAACATTCCATTCTTGGTAAGTTTAGAGCAGATCCTGCCTTAGCTAAGCAACATGATTGCCAGCAAAGCGGGGTTAATGAAGAGACTGTGAGTGCGTGTCTAGTTACATCTCAGAGGTTCCTTTCTAAACACTTTTTATTTAATGAGATGAGTTAGTCAGCTAGTTGATCTGAAATCACTTTAGCATAAGCCCAAACTCTCCACTGTTTCTAGGTTTTAAATAACTTTGAACTAAGCTAAATTCTTCTTCTCTATCTCTGAGGCCAGAGGATACATTTCTTTTAGTAGGATCATCTGCCCATATATGAATAATCCCACTGAACCAGTCAGATCGCTTAAGTAAAGGCTGGTATGTATATAGCACTACTACACACTTTCATATATTGATGTTTTGATTGCTTATATACTGGGAACACTCACCCCCTGAACTGGTATTTAAGAAGCAATAGGCAGCTCCTGAGACATAAATACACAAAATTGCTTTGCATTATTAACTTGTACTACCTCTCTTATATGATGCTGTGTGGGACACTCACAATGGACAGATCAGAAGGACTGACTGTCAGTAACAAGCCAGCCCAAAGAGCTCTCCTAAGCAGTCATGGTATGGCTAGACATTGGCCATAGGCTCAAAAGCAAGAGAAACCTGGGAACTAATTCACCTAGAGGTGATTAACTCCCATGAACACACAGCAATACAGAATATATCTGCAATAGCTGGCAATAAGATGGCAATCCGGTTTTGGTGACATATTTACCCCATCTTACACACGTGTGGGGGTGAGTCCTTCTCAAAAAGCTGTTTCCCTGAATATGTATAGGGATTTCAAGGCTTTATTAATATGACTTCCTCTCCCCTTCTGCTCACATGGCTTCAGTTACAGTTTTCAGACCGTAGTTCTGCAAGTGAGATACCTCTGAAGTCTCCAGGGACTGGATCTCTCTCGGTAACTCTACAGCATGCCTGTTGAAGTAGTCCATGGTAATAGCATTATTCCAATAGCTCAGATTGTTTTCTGGGTTAGATGTCTTCTTCTTCCTCCTCATACAGCAGACTGTCAGCAGAACTGCTGTCAATAGAAACATGTCAAAAAATTGGTTATTTCCTTTCAATAAGGACTCATCAGTACCATGGATTTGTTTTTTACAGTACTTAAGGAGAGGGCTGGCGACCTTCATTCATACCATTCACCCTCAGTCAGATCTAGCTCTCTCCTAACAAAACCCACGCAATTAAGTCAGAAACTGGGCCAAGCAGATGACGCCTTGGGCTTGGCAGGCTAAGCGGTTTTTACTTTCTTTTTGATGTGAGTTTATAATCTTCAAGATGTGGCTGCCTGGCTAATGAAAAGCTTTGGTGTTGTAACTGATGGCATTTTAATACCTAAGCAGGGATTTATAGATGCTGTAGGACAGAGGGTACTCCCCAGGGACTGTGAAGGATGCCTTTGTGCAGATCTTTTCTGCTTCTAGCATGTTCAGACGCTGCAGCGATGAGCACATTAGCAAATGGGCAGTGAGAGACACCTGTCCTAGGCTTAAATAGCAAATTCATAAACGCCTGTAGTTGTACGTCTTCAATACTGAAAGCTGCCCTGAAGTGCCACTGATCCCTGCCCCTGTCACCTCACATTGATAACTTGGGTTTTGGGTACTTTGTGACCATGCTCCAAAACATCAGTGACCAGCAAGGGGAACAGATGGGCTCCTGAGCGGGATGAGACAGTGATGAGGCAGCGTGGAGATCCCCTCCGGCACCTGTCTGACATAGTTTATGCTTCCAGGGTAGCATTAACCCCAGAGCTGGGGTTTTCCTGCCTGCCTCCACCAGCTGTATCAGGATGTGGGATCTACTGATAAGTGTAATCCGCTCCCCACACTTGCCTGGGTATCGATGGTGTCTGAGCCTGGCTTTTGTTCTTATCTGCTGCACACACTTAAACTTCTTCAATTTGAAAAATTTAGCTTAAAGTAGAGCAGTTAGGCAAGGCGACGTGACCAGCAAAGTGAAACTTGTTGATGCAATTGTCTGTCTGGTCTCAAGGCCACAGGCACCCACAGAGATGCCAGGACAATGCTCCCCCAGCGGGCAGGCTGAACACAAAGCTGGTGGAGTGTTATTTTCTGGAATTGCTTTCGGTTTCGTCATCTCTGTTGCAATTCAGATGGGTAATCTTGGCAATTTTACGAAAGCCAGGCAAACCCACTGTAACACACTTACTGCTCCCACTGGTCCTTGCACAGGCAGAAGTTGAGGCGCGTGCCAGGGTTTAATGCATAAGCTCTGTGCGCTTATCTTATACCTGTGGAATTAATTGACTAGTTGTGCTTGTAATCTACCTGATTTTTACAGACAGACAGGTAGCTGGATGTGTACTTACTTTGATTGGTACCTGTGAAATGGGGAACACCCTGCCATAAATTCACTCCATTATTTCTAAAACCCTCACAATAGAAAAGAATAGAGAAAATATTCATGAAGCAGAAAAATATATTATTTTCTCAGCTACAGATGAAATTATTTATTAGAATTATAGCCCAAAGGAAAGAAAAGACTGCAGAGAGGTCAAAGCTGCTTTGTATGTTTTGACAAACATTGCAGTTACCCATATGCCGTGGGTCTAATTTCTTATCCCATCTATGCACATAAAATGGCAATACGGAAGTGCAAGGCTAGAGCTCTATTTAAAACAACAGACTGAGATAGTAAAAAAATCCTCTTAATGGGTTTGACTTCTGGCAGTTTATGTCTCATTCATAGCAAAAGGTGAGCTTATGCTATAAATCTTTAGAAACTAATGGAAAAATCTCCCGTGCCGTTCCTGCACGTTTCAAAAAAGCAGCTCATCATCAAACTTACTATTATCTTCGACTCATATTGCTTCAGTCTTTCTATCACCAATAACGTCATTCGCTGATGGCCCGGCAGCACGACTCCAGCTGCTGTGCCCGGAGGCAGGCACCCCATGGGGGCCACCAGAACTGCTCTCCCTGCCCATCCTCCTGAAGGGCTGCATCTTTGCTCCCTGCTTTGCTGCTACCCTCTCCATGTCCCAGCCTGACCTGCAGGCTCGTTAAGATTAGAAGGTGAAGCAGGACCTACATTTAGTCCACCCAGTATGTGGGTAATGGAGTATATGGAGCTTTTCGGTACTCCAGCAACAAGTGCTCCCTAAGGCACAGAGTGCTTCTGAAGGTGCCTGAGGATACGAGAGCCCCAGTAAAGCTGGCCCTATTGCTGTGCAAATATTTTGAAAGCCTGAGGTTTTACAGCTTATGAAATGTTGTGGCTGCTGAGAGAGAAGTATCGGATTTGGGTTTTAGGGGCTGGAAAGCAAGTGACATTGAGTCAAGAGACATCTCTGCTTCTTCCAGCAGGAAATGGCCTTGCCATGTGCAGATATGGTTGCTGTACAGCAGTAATGCTGTCTCCCTTAATTACGCTCTTGGCCTCCGACCTTAGTGCACACACGAGCAAACGGATGGAAGATGGTGGGAAATGGGTTCCTGAGCTTCCGCTAATATAACGTATTTTAGCAGAAGGCTGTCTACCTAAGCTGCCCCAATTCAAAGCAGAGGAGACCTGATTTAACAGGGAGAGAGAGGACAGCAGGGCTGGAATGGGGCTATTCCCCTCTTCATCTCATATTAACTGCCCTTTTGAGGCACATTTTAGTGCAATTAAGGTAGCTACCATAGGACCGCTCACTTCCAGAACAATACCAGGAACAGGGTACAGCTTTACCAATATTCTTAGATCTCTGTTTGTTCTCATCATTAGAATTATGTGTGTTAGAGAAAAACCTCTTTCCAGACCGACAATTGTGATGGCCAACGAGGACATATTAAGTGGATGAAATATATAGAGGGCAGAGATGGTTTGGAAGCGACAAATGGCAATAACGACAACAACAGAGTGGAAGAGAGAATCAGTAGCTGCTATACCCCACTTATCTTTCCTGGTATATTATGTAATGCCCTCGTAAGGACGAGAAAGTGCTGTTATTTGGTGCTGTCATGTATCACCTCTGTTTCAGAGATGGCCAACCCTTTGGGCAGAAAAAGGGCTAACTCTTCTCTGGTTTGCAAACACCCATCTGGATGCTTTCTGAGAGTCAGAAAAGCTGAACTGACTTTTCCCTTTGCCTGCTGCATCTTAGTTAATAGCGAATGCCACAAGAAGGACACTTCAGCGTTGTCCCTGTGTCAGCCTGAAGCTCCCCGTACACAGTTTACAATACTTGTTAGGAAATATCAGGGGTGTCTGCAATTTTGTGGACACTGGAGGTTCAGGGAACTCAGAAGCATTTCTCACCCGTATCCTTTAACCTGCTGCTAGTCTGGAGGGAGAAAAGTCAGCCCACACATTTAGGGGCTAAGAGCTGCTGACAAGCTCTGGCTATGACGCTGGCCTCTTTCTGGCCCCAAGGCAAATTACGTCTGCATTATCCATCCCCCCTCCCATGAAACAGGACATAATACATCTGACAAATGGGAGAAATTAGTTTCTCACAGATTTACAGGTTTCTAGGCTGGTGGGAACATGTCCATCATCTACTCGCACCTGCACACCACCTGCACACCAGGAGACTTTCACCTGTTAACTTAACCGTAAGCTGTATTTAAGGTACAGCACATCTCACAGGAGAATACCCAGCTTCATTTAGGGTCATGGAGGGACCGGATATCTATCCCATTCCCACAAATGGGATGTGTCAATACTTAATTTCCATTGTGGGTACATATTTATATTCCCCTTGTTGTCTAAATGTCTCCAGCTTTATCTGCCATTTCCTCAATCTCCTTTTGCCTTTTTTATTAAAAGCTTCCACTATGCTATCAGAAATGTCCCCCATATATGTGGGCTTCATCCTCGTCTTGGAATACATGATGACACAAGTGGAGTTATGTTGCATTTCTCAGCAATTATATCATTCACATGGCTCTTTTCTATCTTCCAATATTTTTTTAAAAACATAAACCTCCAGGTTTAGAAACCATATTCAATACTAGCCTCATAAATGCAGTATAATGAGATCATACTAACTCCCTACAGTTTCCTGATAGTCTTCTGTCTTTTCTTTCAATTCATTTAAACATTTTACCAATCTTATATAGCTGCATACCCCCTTCCTCCACTCTCCAGCTCCCATGTAAAACATGATGTTAACAGACCTGAACGTTGCAAGCACTTATAAGTCAGGAGATACTCAGACTGAAGGATATTAATTTACTTCTCCCTATGCCTGCAGATCATAATATAAACTAAGTTTCTACAGAACCCATGCCTCAATGATTAGAATAATGTTTTTTTCCGTATTTCTTTTAATTTCCCTAATTTACTGTGGCCATCTATAGCAGTACAGCCTTAGCTGTAGCACAGGTGTCATGATGGGTTTGGTTATTGACCACAGCTGCTTACATCTGGAGACAGGAGGCTCTTTTCCAGCTCAGTTTGAGCTCACACCTGGGTATTAGACTCAGGGCTTGGGATCTCTCTCGCTTCAGACTGCGAAGCAAACGTTCGTAGGTTTTGTGATAGCAAAAGTGGGTGAGAGAATTTTTGAACGCGTCCCAGTGCATGAAATGTGAGCTAAGTGGGGCTAGGTCCACGGCAATTCTTCATATATTCTTTGAGTTCTGCTGACGCCTGTGTTCGGAGGCTCAGCCTCTCGCTTTTACCCGTGTCAGCAGAACTGACTGAATGAATTGACTTCTATGCATCTGATTTGCAAGTTTCTGTTCTACCATGTTTTCTTGTGTCATTCTGTAATTACAGAGATGTAAGTACTGGGAGCCCAAGGACTGGGACGGTGGCTTTTAAAATGAACTCCTATTGTGTTGTTCGGCACTGCAGAGACAGGCGCCCGCACACATACAAATGCACGTGCAGAAAAATGTTCAAGGCTGCCTGAAGGACACTGCAAAAACAAATTATCACATGCAGGAAATACTGGTATCAGTATTACATATGACTTTGCTTTTCTGGAAACGCAATGATACAGAATCTTTAATTTCTGCCGCCCTCAAATGGCGTTAGCAACATCACCCCTGTTATTTCTACCACGAAACTCAGTACCAAAAGGTGAAATGATTTCCCCAGGTTCACCCAGCAGAGATGGCTCGTGCATTCCTATTCAAAGCATTATTTTTCTGGCTAGTATTTTAGGGGATTTCTGTGGGACTCAGAAACCTATGCATCCTTAAAGAAATCTGTACAGTAAGGAGGGGGAGGCTAAATCCCATCTCTTATTTCAGCAAGTGAGCTTCCAAGGCCCAGGTCGTCAGGCCAGTGCTACAGCCACTGAGCCATGCCACCAGCATGGCTGGCGGGCCCTGCCAGTCCTCAGTGGGGCTCAGATGCCAGGGCACAGTGGTGCTGAACAAACGCTCTGCTGCTTCCTGCTCTGAGGTGCAAATCCCCACGGCGGGAATGGGCCAGCGAGGAGCCCGGCGGGGTCTTTCCTCCACGAGGAGAAGTGTAGCATCCCAGGCACTTCTTCCAGTGGGGACGAGGATCCAAGGGCTCCTGTGGTCACTCTGGCAGGTCACTGCCCCTGCTATGGAAGTTAAAATGCCCACAGGTTTTCATTTAACAGCTACCTGTCAATAAAAGGTGTGACAGCGAGCAGCACGTGGGGCCCGACTGCACCACACATCAGAGAGGGACAGACCTGTCCCTGCAGCATCGTGGTGCATTTTCCCTTCCAAGGATATCAGGCAGCACAAGCTGTGCCCAGAAGCCCCCTGAGAAGGCAGGCTTTTCCAGCCTCCTCCCCACACCTCGCGCAACGGAGGGATCATGGGGCAAGGCACGAGGGCTCCCGGTAGAGAAGATGCGCTGGCCACTGCGCAGCTCTGCAAGGGCTCCAGTGACAGCCCGGAGGTCAGCGAGCTGGCTCAGGCGCACCCTCCATTAGCAGGAGGAGGGAGCTGAGTTAATTAGATTCCTGCAGTTCTGCAGCTGTGCACAGGCTCCGGTTGCCTCTCCTCACCTCCTTCCACTTCTTTCCAGGGCGTGTTGCTAACTTCCCTGCATCGGGGCTGCAGGGCAGCAGCAGTATTTGATGATGTGATGAACAGTGCCTTGTCTATCAATCAGTAGAAATAGAGGATCAAATAAATTCTTTCAAGCATTATCTTTGGGGCCAATATTCACAAAGAAAGCTGATCTGGTTAGAAAGCGTGCCCCCAGTGCAGGGCCTTGTCCTTTCTCACAGGTGCCTCAGCAGCAGCTCAGGGCTTGCTGTCCCCCTCGGGGAGTCTGACCAGCAGCCTTGAAGGTGCCAGCCTGAGCAGAGAGCCTCCAACCCGCAGCCCCGGGGCAGCAATAACCTCCTGCTAGGAGACCTCAGTGACTTTCTCCGTGGCTTGTCCCTTCCTAAGGCAACTCAGATATTTAAGAGCACGGGTGTGAGTCCCGATTCAAGATACCTCCACCTTTCAGCATCCCAAGGCAGGATCAGGATGGTGTTTTCTCAGTCCGTGTCCACAACAGCTGCGAGAGCCTCTCACCGAAAGCGTTTTCAGCCCTTGAAGACGAAGTGGGATCCAAATGGCTGTACTCTTCATCCGCCTCTTAGCATCAGCCCCCTCTAGACCAGAAGTGATGAGCAAATGCCAGTTGCGGGGCCTTCTGTCCTCAGCTGCAGGCGCCTGTGCCCAGGAGGTGGCGACAGTCCCCTTCGCACACCGCGCACCCCGTACCACACGCCCTGCACCCCGTATCGCACACGGCACACCGCACACCCCGTACCGCACACCGCACACCATACATCCCTGCCTGAAGACAGACGGATGCCTGAAATAAAGTGCCCCGCCGGTGTGCAGCACAAGAGGGGAGCCACAACCGATGCATGTGGAGCTGGGCAAAAGTGGTTTAGCTTGTCATAACTTACTTTTCTTCTCCTATGGGAATAACCTATGCCTGTACAACAGCACTTGTCATGGCGTAGTTTAAACAGCGTAACTTTTGGATGAAAGCAATTCCCTGAGCACTTCAGCCAGATCAAAAAAAATCCCATTTCAATGCCTAGCATTCACTTCAACTCTGAACTATACCTGGGGATCCCCAGATTTTAGAAGGAGAGTCCCACTGAAGACCATCCTCAGAAATCTGGTCCTGAAAGCAGGACTTACTTAAATATCAGAATCACTTAAACACTCAGTTGTATTAAAGCTGGTATAGATAATTTTCAAAATAACATTTTCCTTTTTAAAAAATGTAGCTTACAGATACAAGAAACAGAATAGGCCCAGTCATATGAACACATACTGTTATGGCACATATGATAAGAACAAAAGTTTGAATGAATATTTAAAGAATAGTGGGTTAGAAGTCCTGCCAACAGATTCTTCACATTATTATTATTAATAACTATCATTAGTTATCAGCTCATGTGACACACTGCAGGCAGAGACATGTAACAGTTTACACACTGGTTATGCTTCCTATGCTTGTGTTGTACGGTGTTATATTTTGTGTTTTGTATTTGGACGCTTTCTAACCAGATCAGCTTTCTTTGTGAATATTGGCCCCAAAGATAATGCTTGAAAGAATTTATTTGATCCTCTATTTCTACTGATTGATAGACAAGGCACTGTTCATCAAATCATCAAATACCACTGCTGCTCATCCTGTGCTTGCTATATCGCGGTTTTTCCTCTCGATCTTTGCAGAAGTACGTACGGACATTTCTGCTTTGGTTTCTTTTTATTTTGATTGTCCATATTTTAGGTTTAAGCTTTATTCTCACTCATGGTTTCAACCACGTTGGCAAGAGCAGAAGCGATGGTCCAGGTCTAACAGATATGCTGAGCCAATCCAATAATTTGCAGCTGCTGACAGGATCAGTGCGGCTCCCTCTCTGGGGGTGTACTCCTGCAGCCTCATCTGCTCCGGGTCTTGTGCTTGTCTGACCCGGTGGGGAGCTGATTCAGCTCACTCGGTGGACAGAAGGTACCAAAGAGCAAAGGGAATATCTTTTGGCCACTTCAGCAATCTGAAAGTGTCTGAGGGAGGTGTCAGGTCAGGCCCAGGCAGACGGAGCAGGGCAGGCTGAGGTGGCTGAGCCTCGGAGAGGGCAGGAGAGAGCAGTGCTGTCCTTTTTGGCAGGAGTAAGCTGTGTGCGAGACTGGCTCGGTCAGCTCATCTAGCCTTGTCCTCAGTACAGCTCGTAGCTGTAAACAACAGAATTAATACTCAATATTGTTGGCTGCTACCCTTTCATGCTTCCTGAAGCAACAAGGGCTGGGAAATGTTTATTTTTGTTCCACTCCAGACAGATCAGCATAATCACACCCTGCAACAGAGAAACCCCAGAGAGTATGTTGTCCCACCTTGCTTATATAACCCAGCTAAGCAGGGGACACCCCAGCATCCACTCACAAGCTTTCTCATAATTTCTCATGTGGTTTTTTTGTAACTTTTTTTTGTCTCGTCAAACGACGAGACCCTAAGCCAGCTCTGGGAACCCAGCCTGTCCTGGTCCCGGAGGTGGCTGACTCCTGGGGTCTGAAGGCCAGGATGTCAAACTCTTCCTGCTCCCTCGGCAGCTGCAAAGTTGGAATTAAAGTGGAGGAAACCAGCAATTTGGTTACCAGATTTTAAAATCTGATAGTTCACCAACTGCCTGCAATGGAATATTTTATTGTGCTGGAAAACTGGTGTTTCCTAAGGTAGTAGTCATTACAACTGTCATTAATCTTTTGGGTTAGCAGTAGGCTTTTTAAACCCAATTCCAGAGCAGAATATAGTGGTTCCTAGATTAAAGACTTGTACAATTTTTGGTCACCCGCTTAAACGTCTTGAAGTAAAGCTGCTTCGCCTTCTAGACTTGTTCAGCCTTGCGTTACACCCTCAAATTGTGGGCCCAAAAAGACTAATAAGATTTCTAATAGCAATGGAAGAAGTATGCTTTGAGTGTAAACATGATAGCCCTGAATTTTGGAGCTAAGCACTTTGGTTGGTGAATGCCTCAGATTTTGGTCTAGTGATTGCTTCTCATCTATCTTAAGCCCTCCACCTGGTCCTTGAATCATGGGCTGAAATCTGAATTTTGAGGAAAGAGAAAGCAAAATAAAGTGGCAATTAACTTACAGCATGAGGATATAGGTACGCTGATGGCCAGAATGATCCAGGCAATGTCCATCTTGCTGAGACAGATGGTTGCTCTGTGCTGGGGTTTGTCCCCCTCGGTGACATGGGAGATATTTCCTTGTACCCCAGGTTTCCAGGTCCCAGCAGGAACCAGTCTGTTTAGGAAGTTCCCAGTGGCGGTGGAGCCAGCTGTGGAAATGGAACTGGACAACCTTGTGGCGGGCGCTGCGGAAAGAGCACTGCCCAGCAAGGTTGCGTTAGTCACCGCGCTGTGCTGCGTTGGAGTGGGTCCCTTGGGGTCTCCCGCTGCCAGGGAGGAGACACTGACATCAAATCTGGTCTGGACTGAGTGACCCGCTGCTGCTGTTGCAGATCCAGGGCCAGCAAACAGAGGGACATTTGTACTGAGATTCAAGGTTACCCAAGAGTTGTTTTTGCTCAGCATATCCCACACGCCATAGCGGGTGGGTTTAAAAGGCACCGACACTGCTTCAGGATCAGTTGATGGTCCAGCAGTTGTGGTGGCAAAATCTGCCTCCTGCACCACTAGCTCGGCCCCATCCCCTCGCTCTGCTTCCCTAAGGCTTCCCGAAGCGTTGCGGTGGGGAGAAGGGTCTGAGTGTGTAGTTCTTGCCAGCCCCGTGCCATTGGGATTGCTGGACGCTGCTGTCTGGGACTGAAACGGGTGGTCTGTGAAAGGGGTCCTCAGGGTAGGGAAGGGAGAATGCAGGGTCGTCTTTAGGTAAGGCTCTGAGGACTCCGTGAAGTTGCCTTTGAAAACCTGGAATTTTTTCCCCTTGGGGCGAGTCTGTCCCGAGTACAAAGCACTCTGGTTGTATAAACGATACGTTTCCTTTTCGCCGACGCGAGGGCTGCTTGCTTGCTTTTGCCCGGTGGAAGGGGCTTTCTCTGCCAGGCTGACGGTATGGGGAATGGCACGAGTGGATGTGGGAAGGGGCTCTGCCGCGTGGCTGTCTTTGTGGCGAGGTGTTGTTCCCATGGCTGTGATAGTTGTAGTGTCCATTGGGAAGCCCTGAGAGGAGGAGACACTGGGAGACAGTACCTGAACAGAAAACACCAGCTCTTCTGTCAGTGCCAAGATCAGTAGAACACCTGGAGGAAAAAACACAGAGAGAGGGTGAGACACCAGGAGGGACCAGCGCACAGGGAACTGCACGGCTTGCACATCTGGCAGGAAGGAATACCTTCCATGTTCTGCAGAAGGACAGAAGAGTTAACATCCAACTTCGCTGGCTTCTCCGGGAAGGTAGGAAGAGAAAGGAAAATCCACAAGGGGCTGCAGTGGCCCCACAGCCGTGGGAGTGGCAAAGTGGGAACGGGAAGGCTGCAGGGAATCTCTGCAGTAAAGGGAGAGAGGAGCTTGCAGTATGGACTCAGGAGAGTGCTTTAAAGTGCCATAGGCAGGTGATTTCCCTGTAGAAGCTACAAAGCATCCTACTCTTTAGGGGTAGAAACACAAGATGTTTTCATTTTTGTTTTGGCCAGAAGGCCTCCAGATGAATGTCTGCATCATTACGGGGAACCTTAGTCGCTCATTCTTTTGACTGCAAAATCCTAAATTTGGCTGCCTCCAGTCTTGGATGCCATTAAGCAATTTGTTTTTTGAGAGAGCAGCTGCTTAGCCCTTGCCAAAAATTAGGTCAAGAAGGGACATGTGATGAGAGTTCTTCCTGGGTTATATACGCTGTCCTTTATTTAGCAACTTTGGAAAATCTAGTCACTTATTTTAGAATATGAGATGTGGAAAATCTCCAAATGTTAGAAATGAATAAGAAAACATAGCTAGCACAGCCATTTTAAAAAGCCACATGATTATTAGGGGCATGACACAATCTAACACAACTGCCCTTCGCACCCTTATACAAACGTTCGGTTGCAACCTGTTCTGTGCTCACAAGTGCTGTGGGGTTTGGTTTGTGTGAAATTTGCCTCCTGTTACCCTCTGTAGTGCACATCATTTCATGAGGTGCCAGATACACACTGCTGGGAGCACCAATGCTTCCATTTATTCTTAGTCCGGATAATGGACACGGGCAGCTGCAGTAGCATAAGCCTCCCCAGGATGCAGGGCTAATACACCATGAGTTAGCGTGACCTGCAGGGACCACATCAATCACACGTCACCATTTCCATATGTTGAAGCTGTCGAGTGTAATGTGGATCTCTGCCCACTAGGAAGCACACGGAATAAATCCATTTTGCACAGTCCACTGAGCATCATCAGATGGCACCTTTAGCACTGTGCTAGCGTGAATTTCAACCAGCGGTGTCAAGGTGAAAAATGTTGTCACAGTCTTAACAAATCAGGGAGATGACTTCGTCAAAGCTGCAGGACTCCAAACTGGGTAATGATCACCTTCCAGCCAAGACTGTGGAGTGCCTTCCTGCCCCCTTCTCCACCGCTCCCAGGCTTGCCAGCTTTCTCCGTGAAGGTTGTTATGCCATTTAGTTCCACCCTACTTGGGAATATCTGTTATGAGCACCAGCAGAAAAGGAAAACAGGGACTTGGGAAAACGAAAGAAGGTCTCTCATGAGGTGTCCACTGGGCCCTAGGGCTCTTTTGCACGTTGGGCAGATGCAAATGGCATGAAATGTGTTTATTCTGAATCCTGTGCATCATTCACACCCATTCGCAAGCAGTGCAAATACACGTAGCAAAAACTCACCAAAGCAGCAGTACCTGTTCCTCTTACCCAGCTAAAGGCTCTACTTCGATCACTAACCATAATTTCTGAACCAGAACAGCACAGAATGCTGCAGCCAACAAAATTGACTTCATCTTGCCCTCAGCAGCCTCCTGTAACTTCACAGAGTATCCAGGAGAAGATTAAAACACTGACTGGATAATGTAGTGAGAGACAATTACAAGCACTGCTCTTTCCACTGCCTGATGCTAAAATTTGGTCTTTTTTTTGTTTTGTTTTTTGGGTTTTTTTTTAATTTCTGAAATAAATATCTCTGTCAAATAAATCACCACCTGGGATACTGGTTCCCAGTTCCTAGCCAGCTACAGACAATATGCTCTTAGTAGAACACCTAGTCAAAGAAAAAAAACATATTCTGTACACTGAGATGCAACCAGGAGAGCAGATCGTGCTATACTTGTGGAGCATCGCTCTTGGAAATGAAAGGAAGGAGTTATCTTCACATTTTTGGCAGCACTTATTCTGAGGTCAAGGTCAAAGCAAATACTCTAGTGTCCATATGGCTAATATTTCATGCCAAGACAAGTTGCTGCCACAGAATAAATTCAAAGAGGAAAGGATGACAATTTATTTTGGATTTGGTGTGTGGAGATAATGTTTCAGGAAGCGTTAGGCCTGCTGTTCCGAGCACACAAGATGAAGTGCGTTGGCAGATCTTGTGAGAGACTAGATTATAATGATTGTAATGCCTGCTAAAATTTTTGGATGTTCTTTGTGTAACTACTTTCCTTCACACCTCACATGCAGAAAAACATCTCTATTGGGTTAATGTTTTCCTCCAGGATATTCCTTAAGGAATAAGGAAGTTGTTGGCTTTTCTGCATATTGTGCCCTGGGGTTAGAAACCCTGATCTTTGGCTAAAAACCTACCTAATATCCATCTCCTTTCTTGAAATACTGATAAATCAGAAGCTTGCTGCTGTAAAGATTTATAACCTCTCTGGGGCAGTCCATTGGTAGCAGGTCACCACACATCAGGCACGGGAAGCTAGATGCTTTTAGCTAGTACTTTTAGGTGGCTTGTAAAGTATGAGTAATTATTCAAAGGAAATACTACACCAGAAGTAATTTATCTGACCATAAACAATAACCCCCGTGACATTTGGCTGTCTCAGGCTGTGGCAGTCAGGTTTTGCTCATCTGCTAGACTCCCTTTAACAGCCTCTGCAGAGCCACTGTGGCCCTGTAAGCTACAGCTTCTTAGGACTATTTTTACTGGTTGAATGGACCACAGTAACTCCTTCAGTGACAACCAGAGCTCTTCTGTGCCCCTAACTACTGAAAAAATACTCAGCTTAGTAGATAATTGTAAAAATAGCCAGTGCGGTATATTTAGGGAGAATCAGCTGATAATAAGGACTTCACAGTGGGCTTTGCTGGCCCTTTTAAGTGGAATTAATTTGCTTTATAATTGATCAACAGCCAACTGGAAAGCAAAAGTAAAGCTGGAATTGGTACATTCAGATGCTCTGCGTCATCACCTAAGCATGCTCTGGCTGGATTTGCGGTGACCTGATTGCCCAGAGCTCCTGCTTACTTTTCTATCACTTGAGGATATGCAATGTCTTACAAAGTGGGGCTCTCATTGATGTCCCTGATATTAGAACTGTCCCTGCTTGGCAACTTTGTCCTAGGAAAACAACATTCTGAATTTCTCTACTAAGACGCAGGAGGCATTCGTCACAGAAATGGACTTAACCAACTCCTTCAAATTTCTTCCCTTCCCAACCTCTGTCTCTGCTTCGCAAATGCACCCGCACTGAGAAAAGGGCCATGGCGGGTACGAAGCCAATCGTCCCCAGTGCCTCAGCTTACCCTCAATCATACTACCACTGAAAGGAAACCATCTGGTTGCTACCAAGTTGTAATGGCCAAAGTTTTGGTATCCCAGGTGGGATAGCAGGTACATAGCAGATGCTCTTAATCTGTTCAAAGCACAGTCCTGCAGCTCTTTGCCAAAATCCTTCAGTTTTGGCTGGCTAAGACTGTTAGGACTGATCTTACTTGGAGCATGAGCCCTTTGAGGGCTGGCATAGTCCTTACTGTCTGCTGGCATAATGGTAATACAGACTGATGTAAGCACATTATAGCAAATAACAAATTATATTTTCAAAGGTCAGTTCACAGCATTAAGTTTTTTCATAAGGGGTCATTTCTAAGGTATAGAAACTCACGCTCAGAAGGGGCCAAACTGGTTTGTCTTTTAAATGCTGTGTGTCAAATTCCCACTTTTGGAGTCTAATTTTATGACTACATTAAAACCATTCAACCCTAATGAGAAGGCCGATTGACCTGACATCTCTGTGGTGTGAACTGTGTCCTGCTGTGGTCTTGCATAGTGCAACAAGAAGGGAGTATTAAGTACAAAATGAATTAACTCAAGGATGAAGCACAACAGAGTGACAGAAGAGCGCACACAGAGCATGCCGATGTGCATGTAGCCAGAAAAACTCCTTCCTGACAACATGGTGCAATGGTTCAAATCTCAACAGGATCTCCCTGCAGTACTTTTTCCCATCATACACACAGATGAAGAGTCCAGAAATGGTGTGTGCAATTGTGTACATGAAGAAAATGAAGGAGTTCCTTTACAGCAATGTTTTAAAAGACTGCTGTTGATGTCCTCAGTGAGTCTCAGAAAAGCAGGGGGTTAGGAATATTTTGCTTTCCCAGACTATGAAATCCGCAGGGTCCTACCATTTGGGAACTTCCTCACGACCCCTTTATTTGCATGCAGGAGGCAGAACTGCCTCCCACCAAACCAGAAAAACAAAGTGATTTGGGCCCCAGCAGCTGATGTTCTTTGACTGTTTTATCTCAGGACCTTGGGACCCCTCACTAGGAGCCAGTGTCCTGGCACAGGACAACATTAAAAGGCTTCATTGAGGAGTCAGTACCACCTGGTGCTGCACGGGACACTTCATGGGCACTTCGAGAACAGCCTTTCCGCGTGACGTGGCAGAGCAGGCACGTGGCTGTCGAGTCAGCTCACGCGTTCAGCCTCCCCGGGGCACCCCCTTTAAACAACACAAACTTATGTAACTTGTGATCAAAAGCCTGTGGAAAGGTTCCCAATGACTTTAGCGGGCTTTGGACCAAGTCCTAATTGCTAGAGATACAGTGGAAACTTTTGAGCTGCACATTCACATTTTCTACAGCAAATGGATATGCACAATGAGCTCAGTCTGGTGTTTGACCTCTTCTGGCCTCTGCTACCTCAGACCTTGCAGCAAGACAAACAGAGCCACCCTGAGCAGCACTTGGCAAACATTTTTGCTCGAGGAAGTCCTGAAGAGCTTTTTGTGCCGAGACCTACTGCTGGACTCATTATTTCAGCCTGCCGTGGGCAAGGGAAGCAAAGGGAGCCGTCCTACAAAGGACCCATTATCTATAGACCCAGGGCTTGGGTGCACATGGGCAGTGTATGGGATGCTGAACTTAACAGTCTTGACTTACTAATAGTGAGAGAAGGTTGTACAAAATGTGTTCAAAGCAACAGCAATGTTATTGCTGTAACGAAAGCTTTCTTCACGACACTATTAACTTCTCATGTGTCTCTCAGCAAACCTAAAACGTTACAGAGAGCAAAATGAATATTTAATAGATGGAAACTGGGCAGAAAGTATACATTATTACTTTTGTTAGGTCATTTTTGTTATGATAATTTCTTTGTAATCTGTCAAAGCAATATGATTTTCACTCACAGTGAAGCAGCCTTTGTACAAACAAAGAATTAAGCAAATTTAATCTCCATGATCGGTGGCAGAACAGACGGAAGAAAAAGTAGGTTACTCTGCATAGAAAATTTCTTTTCCCTGCTGGTCTACCAGTGGCTGTTGTGCCAGAACTCCCAATAACTTACAAGTTATTGTCTGTTTTCCCTGGTAAGTATTAGACAGGGTGATCAACCCCAACTTCAATACACAAGGTATTTGGCAAAATGCAGGGAATGAGACATGCAGAGTTAACAGCTCTATTTGCAGTAATATCAAACAGCATCAGCAGATGCTCTAGAAATCACATGTACAAACACAAATTAAGCAGTACTCGCTGACACTCCCTGTGCAACGACAGTAGTATTAGCTACAGTTTTCAAGTGGCAAGATGTCCCAATCCTTTAACGATATAAAAACATCGCAGAATGCTATTATTGCACTTATTATGATGCACTTCCATCACAGACTTTGAAAGAGTGAGCCTGTAAATCAAAATTAATTTCTGGTCCTCCAGGGACTTAAACAATGGGTGATACAAATAGGACAGCGTCCTGTAGTCGCAGAGCAGGCAGCTCCCAATTCATTCTCACGCTGCACTAAAGACTCACAGATACTATGGGAATAGGTGCTTTAGAAATGCTTCAGATGCCCTATTCAGCTAAATATATACAGACATCTGAGCTGCTGAGCCTTGTGGAAAGGCTTATTGACAATCTAGGGCAACAGTAATTACTGAGAGGAGCGTAATAAAAAGAACGAGCCTGACTCTACGCTGCTTATTCAAGGTAATCACTTACCTGAAAATATCATTTGGACTTGTCAGCAGACATCCTCACCTGCTCACATCACACAGATTTGGAAGCTTCATCCCTCAGTAGAAAAAGGAAAAATACATCTTCTCCCTAACAAGGCAGCTGCACGCAGGAGTTGCTGTTATTGTTGGAACTGGTTTGGAGGAATGAGGACGGAGACAGCCCAGGCAGGCGTGTCTTGCAGGGCTGTGCAGTGAGAGGGCTCGCTCTTTTATGGAGTACCTTCGCAACTGCAAGGCAAGATTACTTACTGAGCCAGTCCCCCTCTCTTCCAGCAGATCGAAGGGCTGCTTGGTATTCCAGCTTGGTTTCCCATCAACTCCAGATACAGTTTGTCTGACACGGGTCTATTCAGATGCCAGAGGATTGCTGGCAGTTCTCGTTTTCTGGGAACAAAACAGCAACAAGCACCCCAGCTGCACGTCCTTGTGAGGCTGTTCAGTCCCTATTTCAAGGCGGAGTGCCCTCCCTCCAGTGCAGCATTCGGCTTTTTGTGCATGGACGGTTTTTACAGATCTACCTCCTGCTTCTTTACCTCCACCAGACTTTCTACTTCATTCAATTATCTCTAATGATATTAATATTCTTGTCAGAGGACAATATGGGGAATGAAATAGTGATCTTCTCTCCTCCTCCTTCTGTCATCAAAATGCATGTTCTGGATTTTTTTTTCACTCCTCAGTGGTGAATGGGCAATTTCTACTTTGTAACCATGAAGACCACCGATCTTGTGACTCCTGAAGCCATAATCCTGCCTCCCTTCTTCCATTTCTTCTTTTTTCTGTTTCTTTCTTTCTCTCTGGCACAGCTGGGTGTCTGGAAGAACACGCTGCCTGAAGAGCACAAAATGTACCCTGTGCAGCCAACTACCACACTTCAAAAGGCACGGGGAAATGGTAAGAGAGCAACAAGCCGGGGGCTTCTTGCCAGCAGTGTAGGAAACCCCCAGGAGTCAGAGGGCAATGCTTGCTACTCAGTCTTTGATTCAGAGTCCCTGTTGTACCCAGGGGTGCTGCAACAGCCGGAGGAATTTGTTACGTGGGCTCCTCACAAAATTAATTCCTAATATTTTGCTAGAGAGAAATCCAGTTCCTTCTTCTCTCTTATCATACCAGGTGAGAAGATCCTCCTCTTTACAGGCCTTGGATACAAGCATGTTGCAGCCAGACTTCTTTTTGGATGCTGAGGCCAAATCAGAAAGGAATGATGCTGTGATGACAGGTTTGAGATTTGGCAGCACTAGGAGCTACGGGGTGTCCAATAGTGACCCCAGTGCTGATTTTTGGGGACTGAAGTCCCTATCGGGAAGGCTAGGCAGGTGCATATTTTATATCACAAGTTTATTTTACCTGTAGTTTCACAAACTCTGTTTTCACAGCCATTATAATTTCATGGAGGACATGGAAAGACAGACTACAAATAATAATCTTAGATCTGCTTTGCATTTTTGTGCTCTCACACTGATGCTCCTTTTCTCCCTGCCATTTGCAGTTCACTTTTCACCGTCACTGTTTCCAGTCTGAAGGTTTTTCTAAATAAAGATATTTAGTGTGTTATAAAAAAAATGGCCCTTACAAATATCAGCTTGTTTAGCAGTTTCTAGAACTCAGGGCTGATTAAGAGCTTGCTGCTCAAACAATGATTTAGCATGAAGCTGCAGCTGGTGTAACAAGAGAACCGTGCCACGTATTTTAACCTTTGCTGGAGGATTCGCCACATCTGTAAGTAGTAACTCACCACAGATTTCTTCCCTGTGTGCTGTCATGGATGGACACATATGGCTCAAAACTGCAGAGACCATCATGTGGAATTTCAGATGAAAACTCTTCATAAGGACAGAGGCTCTGTGCATTCCCATGTCCAAAAACACATGGAACAAACCAAAAACAATTTTAAAGGCACATGAGTTTTGCTTGTTCTGACAGCTCCCCCCTCACACAAAGCTTGTCCAGCCCCAGCTTTGCAACTGCACATCCCTTCCTTTCCAGCCCTTACTTGGCAGCAGTTTTTGTTGGCAGGATGCTGTTGCCAAGGGAAACAGAAAGGATGTGCAGCTGGTTTTTCTTTCACCTGCACTTAGTGCTGCTGATCCTATTTATGTTACTGCAGAACCTTTGGCTTCTAAGAGACCTACCATCAATGTCACCGGACCTTTTGAAGAGTTTTGACAATGACACAAATAGCTGTGGCCTCTGATGGAAAGCTTAAAATAGGATCTTGCCAAAGAGAGGATGTAGTTGGTGTCACAGATGGTGACTCAAGCAAGGGTATCCATTTCAGAAGCAGCGATAAGAAGGGGAAAAGGAGGATTCAAAGCCATCTTAAAAGGGTTTCTGACAACCCCCCAAAACAGTAACTTCAGATATATAAAAGCTACGTGCATAGTCTAAGGTAGCTGTGTCTTTGGCAGGCAATTCACCCCATCCACAGGTTGACTAGTACCCCAGAGAGGCTCCTCTCCTGCCATTAGCAAAAGAGGTCACATAGAGGATGATGAACTTTAACTAGATGTCCAGCTTTCAGAGGATGAAAATTAGGTGAAATGAATCCCACCTCATAACCCTCTATTTATTTAGATGGCATCATCATAAAGCAAACCGAGGATTTATTTAGTGCAATAAAGGGGTAAATAAAAGTGATACTTGAAAAGGTGAAATGTAGTCTCTGTATTGCGATACTTCCCAGGAGAGGAAATCCCACTGCTTTGCACACTCAGAACCAGTTTCTACTGAACACCAAACAGCAAGCCTTAGAGGGCAACGCTTCATTGGCATGACTAGAGCGGGGCCTGGAAGCCTTTCCATGCTAATGCATTAGATGATAGCATTTTTCTTTCCCATATTAGAGGGCAAGTAGGCAAGCACTAATTCAGCTGAAGCTAGGAGCTGCTGCCTCTCAAAGAAACAGCACGCTATTGATCAGCTGTGCCTGACCCCTGCAAGGCAGGATGTCTGGCTGAACTGGGAAGTGGCAGGTAGCATGAGGAAGTAGGAGCCACTTCTTCATGCATAAGCCTTTTTCCCAAAAATCACAGCTCGTAGACCTGCCACACTCTTTTCAAAATCCTCCCGCTTGCAGTTGGAGGTAACCATGTCAGAAGCTTCTGATTCCAGTACCAGATGATATCTCTTTTCCAAACCTAATTTCTTCAGGACTAAGCCTCCAGCTTTAAGTAATTTACACTGACTTACCTATCAATCTGCATCCTATTTGGATGCTTATTCTAGACTCAGGATACTCTTTCATTACAGCACAGTAATTTTTAGCTTGTCTTTTCTAAGGAAACATTTATAGGAACATGCTGTCTACCCTCTGCCTGTCTTTCCCAGTAACTTCTGATCCATGGCTGATTTCGAATACTGTAACACACACTGTATGACAACTGGTGAGGGGGCAGAGCAGAGTGCCCTAGTCACGGACCCCTCTGCTTCGACAACACAGACCTTTTTTTCTCTACTTGCAAAAGCTGTGCTTAAAATCTCCAGCTGCAGGTAGAGAAATGTTGATACTGCAGCCAGAAGGGATGTTATAGTTATGCACAGGCCAACTAAATTCTACAAACCCTGAAGGTATTTCAGACATTTCATCTATTCACTGAAAGTAATTTGGATTATTTATTACTAATGCCCCCTTCAAAACACATTAGTACCTCCAAGTGCCTGGTTATCCTTGTGCTTGATCTCCAATGAGAGCTTGTAATGAGGAGCCCACACTGATTTGTTATGTGAGCAGGTAACACAATTAGAAAGTAACTATTATATTTACCTGCAGGAAAGCTTTACTCATATTTTTTGACCATTGCCCAGTTGAAGGAAAAGGGACATTGTGCCTCAGAGTGAGTAAAAGGGGGTGGGGTGGCTTGTGCAGTTATTCACTGTCTCAGTTTATCGTCTGGGCAAGTGAGAACCAAACCAGGCTGGGATCAAGGGAGTCAGCATTTCCAGTATGGGGGACTGGCTACTGGTTTGGGGGTACAAAGGGTCAGATTTGAATGGGAACAATTCCCAAGGTAGGCTTGGCCTCTAAAAGGTAGCGAGAGTTTCCACATGCAGATTTTCTCCTGCGAGCACAGTCCAAGAATGTAAGGCTACACATAAATCAGCCAGAAAGGCTGTAACGTGCTGCTCTTATTATCTGCTGGGTTATACAGGGCTAGCAAAGCCTCTGGAGTGGATGTAAGGTTGCTAGAGAAAAAGAAGTGAGCTGTTACTTTTCATTTCGGTTCACCCTTCCTACAGACTAGCAACAGCTTTCTTTTGGCTTCTGGAACAAAAGTTTGTATTGCCTCTTAGCTGTCTTGGGTTGAACCTGGCTTCAGCTAAGGCTGATTTCAGAATAACCTGGATGTTCGTCATGGCCCAGCTGCACTGAGCCACACGGGTGCTCTGTGAGCTGCTCTTCAAGGAGGTCTGGTGATGGACCGAGGGGGTCAGTGAGGCCCCTCCACAGCCAGCAAAAAGTGGAGGTGCATGCCTGAAACTCAAGTGTGAGGGGTGCATATTGCATTAGGACATACAAAGATAAAAGGGAACGAGCAAATTCCCTTCTTGAAAATATCAGCTGCTCATTGTGGAGATGAAAAAAGGGTTTTTTTGCTCCATTAGGTGAATTGCAAGATTGCACAGGTATTGAGATATGGATTTTTTGCCATCCTTTGAAGCTGGGTATTGGGCTGGAAGGAACGATGGTCCAACCTGGTGTAGTCAATTGTATGTTCTCGTAAGTGCGGTCACAGCAGTAGCTGGATATAGTTTCTGCTAATGAGAGCAGGACTCTGCTGCTTATATTTCAGTGTTATTACTCCTGAATTAGATTCCAGAGGTGGACATATGCAATATCATACACAAAGAACATAATGGTGAGATGACATGGAGATACAGTGTACTTGACTAGTCAGGGGATCCGTAATTCAGGTGCCAATACACACAAAGAGAGGAAGAGGATCTCACTTTATAAAATTACGCTTTATCAACTTTGCAGTTCATTCACTGTTGCAATTCATAGTTCCTATTCAGCATGAATGCAGTTAGACAACAAAGTAAAATGTTTCACCTTTCTGTGTGGATGGTCTCTTTTTTACATGCGTATTTGCATTAACAAAAAAAATTTCACTACCAATATGTGTATGCTACTTCAGAATGTTACTT